GCCCAATCAACGCTAATACGTGACCGGGTTCAGCGGCATAAGAGTTCATCACCAGCGTCAATTATTGCGGCAATTGGCCAGCTTAAGAAGGGGGCAGAGATAATGATGCTCTTGGCTGAGCTAATGCGCGATCGGCTCGCCAGCCTTGAGAGGGCTAATGAGGCAGCAACAAAGCGTAGGCAGCGTAAGAAAAAGCGGATATAGAAGCGAGGAGTACTTACAAAGGGAGCTGGAGAGGATCTACTCGCTCAGCACGAGGCTGATCAGCAGATTGCTCATGAAGAGCGTCAGAGAGGAGAGCGATCAGGTAGTTAGCCGCCAGGCTTTGGCGCGCTGTAGTAGGTGCAGAGAGACTGGCCATAACTCGCGTACGTGCAAGAAAGATACTCTAGGTACTGCTTAATCTATTATGTTAATATGTAGTAAAACAACTATATTGTGGTGGAACTACAGGCTTATAGAGGTGCGCAGGTTTGGTGGGGTGCGGCGCTCGCTTGCCTGCGGCGCTCGCTTGCCACATACGTTAATTGATGTTAAGGGTTATATTTTGGTCGCTTTAAGACATGGTTGTAACTAGTCATACATTACCGCATTCAGCAAGTAGTAAGTATCGCTAATCCACCAAATCAAGAGCTAGTAGTTAAGTACTCGCGTGTTGTGGCTTTCGCTCTGAGCAGCATGTGGTCGGTCTGACATGAGAGATTTTGGTATGCACGACGACGCGCTCCTATCGAAACTTGTAATCGAAATCAGGGCCAAGACTAGAAGTGTCCTTTACCCCATCCAACGCCGTTTTCGCACAGGTACGGGTGAAATGGGTTGGTTCGCTAACGATGGCGTCCGTATGCACAGCGCTTGGCGGCTCCTGGTCATACTTACGGGCCGACTTGGGCGCAGTTACCGGACATGGTTTGCCATCATCAGCGTCGCATCTGTGTTCCTGCACCCAGGTCGGGGTATTTGCCCTCAATGCTGGCTTTCAGGTCGGCGCAATAACCATGGAAGACCGGGGTGGATGCATCTTCTTGGCGTTTGGTGTTTCTGTTACGTACGTATGGTAGATGCGCCAACTTTACTGCTGACGGCCGTCTAGTGGAGTATATGTGGGTCACTAATAGGAACTATGTTCGGTGACGATCGCACAGATGCGCCATTAATTTTCATGTGGAAAAAGAGTTGGCTCGTTACGCGTTACTGTCTGCTCCATGCCATCTGGGCATTTTGAGGGCCCGAGTAGGACACGTTTGACTTGCCGCAACGTATTACCGCATCGGCGTGAGAATCCATGTCAACTCGACTGGCAGCCTTGGTTTTGTTGTGAAAGCTTGGCCACAGCCTGAACTTGATCAACTGAAAGCTACAGTATTATTCCAGTAAGTAGTCGGTCCACAAGCTATGATCGCGGTCCGCCGCCCAAACCAGGTTTATCGTACCTCAAGATCCATACCTGTGGCTTCAGTAAGTCTTGAAAAACTACCAAACTGACAAATGTAACATATGTACATGTAGTATCCAATAATATTACATGAGGTGGATGCGTCACACATATCATTGACTGGCAATATAAGAGTAGAACATTAAAATTACGTCCAAGTACATGCTGTTCTCACGGCCGGTTGTTTTTCGCGCCTTCTTCGTTCTTTCTTACAGTGGCTTCCCCGAGCAGCCTCCTCCCGCGCTCGCTTGTCGTTTTACTGCTTTGTGAGAGGGACCCTAAGAGCCGCCAAAAGGAAGCGTAGGCACAGGATCTGGATATCTCCTCCACTGATTGATCAGCTGGGGTCCGCTGATTAGGTTGCCGGAGACGTTTCCAACGGCAAGCATGGCCACCTTTCCCTTTCTTTCGATGGAAAGAATGGCAGAATCATCCGACGGTAGGTAGGTCCATGAAATGGTGATATCAGGGTTCTCTCCGCATGGCACCTTGTAGAAGCTGCTTTGAGGGGTCTTGAAGGTTGGGTCGCTCACGCTGCTGCATGAATAAGACCCGCAATCAACAACCGCTATCATGCTCATGCTACAGCTACCTGGGCTGCACGTAATGAGAAGGCTCCAAGCGCCCCATTTCGCGGCAGGGTCAGGCACGCCAGTCGCTGCGGGGACTGGTTTCCAAGTAACTGTCTCTGCAGTATCTGACTCTGGCGGACCCAAAACTCCAAGGGTTTTGCAACCGTATGTTTTGGGGTCGCGATGAGGATCCGTGGCGCGTGGTACATTATCCTGTTGAGCCGCAGACGCAGTAACGGTAGATAGCGCAAAGAGCGTAGCAGCGAGAGCTTTGACGTACATATTGGAAGGAATGTACAAATTACTTGAGGTAGGCAAGCAGTAGTAAGATTGATATGCGTACTTGACTGGAGGGACACGACAGCCTCCATATATAGGTTTTCCGTCAGAGATGGTCGGACCGGTAAGTAGTCCAGGCTCTCCTTGTCCTGGATGTGGTTGATGAGTGAGCTGAGCAGGATGGAAGCGTGCTAACGCATCCTTACATCGAACCGTATGTCAGCCTCCGATTGTACTGCTTCAAGTATTACATTTCACATGTTTAACCAATAACTGAGCTTATCTATCTCGTGGCCTGCAACTTCGAGTTTTCTGGAAACCGCTAGGAAAGCACGCTATCTAGGAGAACCGACCACGAGGAATCGACTAACAGCACTTTTAACACCTGCAGCTAAGGCGCTAGCGCGCAGTAGGGAGAAGAAGGAGGCCTTCCTTCGTTTTCTCACGCCTGTGAGAATTTTCTCACAGAGCTTGGGCTCTAATGCCAAGACTAGAGGGGCCAATAGGAACGCAGGAGCTTATTGAAGCT